TGAGGAATCATTTGCTTGTATGAATTGGTCACCGCATTGTGAATCCAATTCAAAAGTCTTTGGGATGTGCTGGAGACAACTTTACAGAGTGGTTTGACTCTCCCATTGTCAATATAAGATCTCGGCCAAAAATTGATCCAACCCTTGATGGCAATAAGTGCTGTAATCTTGCATGATAATGCCACAACGAATGCACAATATAATCAAAGCTAAAGGCAGTCCATTGAAATATTAGTGTGTTCAACCAAAGGTTTTTCAATGGGGTTAAAGTCAGGACTCTGTGGTGGTCAATCTTTCACAATTTGAGCCTGGTGAATCTTGGTATTGTCATCCTGGAATATGTACATGCACTGAAAATAACAACTTGTAGGATTTACTTGATAAAATCTTCATAACAATTTGCACTAACACATTTTAAGTAAATTTTACTGCTACTGCTCTGTATAATTTAGTTGTTGTTGAGTAAAATCTACTTGCCTAAGTTAAAGGGGTCATATGATGCTGCTAAAAAGAACATTATTTTGTGTATTTGGTGTAATGAAATGTGTTTATGCGGTTTAAAGTTAAAAAAACACATTATTTTCCACATACTGTACATTATTGTTTCTCCTCTATGCCCCGCCTTTTTGAAACGCGTCGATTTTTACAAAGCTCATCGGTCTGAAAAAGCGAGGTGTGCTGTTATTGGCCAGCTATCCAATAAGTTGTGATTGGCCGAATACCTCAAGCGTGAGACGGAAATGTTACGCCCCTCACATACTGTTGATGCCGTGTCCCGGCCGACAAAAACATTAAACCCATTACAAACGAGGCATTTGTTGAATCCAGTGGGGACATAATTACTGATTATAATGACTTATACTGTCTTTTTACGCATTGCGTTGCATTGCGCCGCGTAAACATAAAACCATGTCTGCACTTGTGATCAGAGAAATGACAAACAACAAGTGCTAACGTTAATCCACACTGCCCAAAACTCGCGTTTGAATCATCAGTGGCAAATCCTTTAAATGAAAACGTACTTACAGACTGTGAGTCAGAACTGCCGGCATTTTAGTCTAACGTAACTCTCCCAGGATCAGTAAACAGTCCTCCATAAAATGTGCTGCACACATCTGGATATTTGGGTTAAACTGTTCTGGAACAGTGTTGTAAATACAACTTAACCACTGATTTGTAGTCGTGTCCTCTTTTGGAAGACCAAACAAAGTAGTTTCGCTTTCACAACGAAAAACACAGCGGCCTAGCGTGAGCGAAAGCCCCGGCTTAGCCTGAGCTGAAGCCGGGCAAGAGTGAGCTGAGGCGGCAGGGTCGAGAACGGTGCGCCTGGGCTGGACTCCGCTTCGTCCATGGTGAAAGTTGATGTATTCCCTCAGCGACCAGCACAGATCAGCTCTAGGCATAACGAAGCGGATATCGTCCTCTTTTGGAAGACCAAACAAAGTAGCTTCGCTTTCACAACGAAGCACACAGCGTCTTCACGACATGGCGGCAGCGGCAACAACAAAACTACAGCGAGAATAAAAGTTACGCCTTCTTTCTTTGCGTGAACATTTGGGCGGCGTTATGCAAATCTTCCCACATAGTGAGGTAGACATGTGGGGGCGTGTTCGAACGAGCCGTTTTAGGGGGGTGTGGCTGACTCTTAACTTTTATAAAGAATATCTCTTTGGATTTGAGACTTTAGTCTTTGCAACTTTACAGATCTTCTTTATGCACCAAGAGCTTGTAACACTCCAAAGAGAAAGGAAAAAATAAAATCGCATCATATGACCCCTTTAAAAAACACTGACGATTACAAATGGCCCATAACACGTGCACGAACACGTGAAAAACTGTCATAAATAAAGAATTTCTTCATTAAAATATACACCTGTGAAAAATTACACATGAAATTGACAACATGCACTTTTTAAATCACAGATCTTACCTCTGTAACAATTATAAACTAGAATTTACCCATCATCTACTATACTCAACATGACCATGCAATTTGTACCAAACATATGCACTTTGACAATTGATGACGCTTAAGAACTTTATAGAAATGTATTTATCGATATAAAATACGATCAGTATATTATAAACTTACCGCTGATTGTGAGTGTACATCTAATAATCTTCAGATCAGTATCTCCTGCGCAAACCAGTCAGAGATCAATTTGAATGTTGCTAAGGGCTTTCAGCCAATTAGAGATATTATACACTATTATTGTGCTATTTTGCCATGCACACAAGACTACTTTTGCTATACTATTTTTGCCATATGAATATATTTTATTAAAAATAGATAAATAAATACTAGTTTGTTCTAAACAATAATTCGGGCTTTAAATACCCCCAACATAAGTGAAACATATGTACCAAATCGTGACAAATTACCTTTCGTCGTGGACCCATTAAACGGTTACGCTGTGACAAACAAACGAACAAAAAAGTTTCCTTTATTCCTTGCCACAAAGTAACTTTTGTGACAGTGTTTAAAAGTGAGCGATTTTAACACAAAACGATCTGCTTAATACATATTGCTGCTTCTTTCAGTGCTAATTGCCTTGTGTATTTTAATGTTAAAATGGGAAAACACTCACCTGTTCTTTCTTTCTTTCAT